GCTTCAGGGCTTCTTTCACCATGCCTGAGAAGACTGAGACAAAAGTGAAAAGCCAAGAAACTCAAGCAGCCTCAGAATTACAGCTATCTATGATTTACGTAACATCAAAATGTGATTTTTGGCAAACAAGGCAATAATCTATAATAATAAAAGCATAATATGCTAATTAGACTGGACAAAGCCAGGGCTGTGAGGGAAGCCTGGGTCCTGGGTGCCAAAGGGAAGCTGGTGCCAGCAGCTGGGTGAAGGAAGGCCTACTCTTGCACTGATTTCATGCATTGGGCCTCTAGTGATAAAAATAAAATTAAATTATCTGAATTCTTTTTGTTACATAAATATGTCTCAATTGCCCTAGTTGGTTTGGCTCTGTGGATAGAGCATCGGCCTGTGGACTGAAGGGTCCTGGGTTCGATTCTGGCCACAGGCATATGCCTGGCTTGTGGGCTCGACCTCCAGTTCCAGTCAAGGGCATGTACCTTGGTTGCAGGCACATCCCCAGTGTGGGGTGTGCAGGAGGTAGCTGATTGATGTTTCTAATTCTCTATGCCTCTCCCTTCCTCCCTCTCTGAAATCAATAAAGTATATTTTAAAAAATATGTCTCAATTAATAAAGTGTATTATTAAGGCAATTAATTGTCCTTCTTTAGTTATTTATGTAAGACACTATGATTCTTCCCTGGTTCTTAGCCTCAACTTTGTACCACAGCTCACCCTCTAGTACAGTTTGCTACTTCTTGTCTTCCAGAGTGGGGCTGGGAGGCGGAGGGATTCTAAGCTTCTGGTCATTATTAGAAACAACAATAACAACAACAAAATCTTATCTCTATTCAAATCTGCAAATATAGCAGCAACCACAATTTTAGTTTAAAAGTTTATGTTTGCTATAGGAAAATTTAAAACTAGAACATGATAGAAAAGTAGACTTTTCTGAATCACTTTTCACATTTCATCAACATAATCCTCAGTCTCCTTCAGGACTCTTTTTTATGGTGATCCCAGGACTTACCTGATGAACGTAATGAAAAGATTGCTTTAAAAAAACAACCTAATAACAGAATATTGTCAACTTATCACACTGTTTCTCAAATAATGGTACAGAAGATTTAGGTGGTACATCAATGAATATTTTCAATTTTAAAGTTTATAGTGACATTGATGGAAATTAGAACAAGTATAATTAGCATATAAAACTCAATTTTCATAAATAATATTTCCTAAGAAAAGGCTAAAAATGGAATCCTTTAAAATTTTAAGTAAACACCACATATGGTAAAACTGTAAATGAAGTGTGCAAATGCTGAAGTTTGAGAAATATTGCTCTGTTTATTTCAAGTTTATGTGACTAGTTACACTATATCATTGCTTTGAGTAATCAATGTTTGTATAATTTAAGAACTATGCCATAAAACTTACAGGTGAATAATCACAGGTTATTGCATACAGAATTTCTGGTCATTAAAAAAAGTTTTATATCAGATTTGGAACCTGACATAATATAATCTTGTTTATAAAATAAATTATGTTTACTATTTACAACCTCTCTTGAGGTTATAATATGCTGCCAGTTTAAAGTCTAAATTTATTTGGTTTCTATGCATTAAATGTTTGTTTATAAACTTTCTCTCCATTATGAATAACTTTATATTGAATGGGATGGAAAAGTATGACAAAAAAATTTCTACATTTATATATTCATATTATTTCTTCCCCAGGAGTTATGTACTGCTGAGTAAGTGAAGGACCGTGGCTTAAACCTTTCACACATTTATTATATTCACATAATTTCTCCCGAGTATGGATTTTCCTATGTTGATTAAGGTGTGCACTCTGGCTAAAGGCTTTCTCACATTCATTACATTTATAGGGCTTCTCTCCTGTATGAGTCCTCTCATGCTGATTAAGATGTGTCTTCTGGCTAAAGGCTTTCCCACAAAAATTACATTCATAAGGCTTCTCTCCAGTATGAAGTCTATGATGTTCAGTAAGGGATGTGATACGGCTAAAGGCTTTACCACATTGATTACATTTGTAGGGCCTCTCTCCAGTATGAATCCTCAGATGTTGAGTAAAGGATGAATGCTGACGAAAGGCTTTCCCACAGTCATTGCATATAAAAGGTTTTTCTCCTGTATGAATCCGCTGATGTTGAATAAGATGTATCTTCTGGCTGAATCTTTTCCCACATTCATCACACTTATAGGGCTTCTCTCCTGTAAGGACTATCTGAGGTTGAGTAAAAGTTGAGTTGTGGCTGGAGGTCTTCCTACATCCACTGGGCTCTTCAGTATGAATATGATTAGTAAGAAGAATATGTTGATTGAAGATTTTCCCACATCCGTTATATTCGTAAGTATTTTCTCTTACATGGTTTCCCTGATAGTAGATCAATTCTGAATTATGTTTGATGCTATTTCCTTGTGTTTTTGAATTAAGGGGTATCTTAATTGAAGAAATTTGCTGATGCATAAGATTTGAGATCATTTTATAGTTTCCCCCAAATTTGTTACATCCAGGGCTTCTCTCCTGTGGGAACTTTTTTTGGGCAAAAGCTTCTTGTCCTAAATGTCTCTGGTGATTTTCGTGATTAAACTCTAACTGATAATCAAAATCCCAGAGTCCTCCTAGAATGGAGTACCAGAAACTATCTCCTGTTAGTCTTTCCATTATCATGTTATGGGTTTGAATTTCATCAGAAATACTCTGGTTTGGAGTTGATTTTTTGACTTCAGGTTTATTTTCTGCATCTAAAAGAAGTTCAGAACAAATTAAGAAGTACAAATTGATAGTTACAAAATAGTCATGGTAATGCAAAGTATAGCATGGAGGATATATTCAATAATGTTATAATAACTATGTATGGTTCCAGGTAGTAATAAAAAACAGTAAGTGGGGGTTTACAGCATAATATTTATTTTTAATGACAAAAAAAAGAAAAATTCAGAACATACTAATACTTTGCAGCATTCTTTATGTTTTGAAAAAAATTGTTGCATAATGAATTACCAAATGAAACTGACAGTGATGCAAATGAGGCTGTTGTGGCATTGGAAAGTTTTAAAATGTGGCCATATAACAAGAGGACAGACTATAAAAAGATGACAAGAAGCAGTGTGTTGGAGGAAAATTTAAAACGTGTGGTAACCATGAAAGGAAGAGCTCATACTGGAAAGAAATGGAAAGGAGAATAAGAAATGGAAAGGAGAATAAGAAATACCAGAGAAATGTCTGTGCTCAGAGGTGGGAGATATTAGAGAAAAGACTGTAATTAGAGAAGACAGGTCTCATCTGTGACTTATTCTATTGTAAGGACAGCTAACTTGTTTATTTTAAAAGCATTTCTTCATTCTTTAAATCTTTTTTGTTGTTGTTAATAATCACCTGAGGATATTTTTCCACTGATTTTTAGAGAGGGTGATAGGGAGGGAGGGAGGGAGCAAGAAACATCAATGTGAGAGAGACATCAATTGTTTGCTTCCTGAATGCACCTTGACCAGGATGGGGATCAAACTTGCAACCCAGGCACATGCCCTTGACAGGAATTGAACCTGCGACTCTTTGGTGCAAGAACCTACACTGTAATCACACAGCAACACCAGCCAGGGCTGTATTTTTTTAAATAAATATATTTCTTTATTGATTTCAGAGAGGGAGAGAGAGAGAGAAACATCAATGATGAGAGAGAATCATTGATTGGCTGCCTCCTGCACACCCCCCACTGGAGATAGAGCCCCAACCCAGGCATGTGCCCCTAGCCAGAATCGAACCCGGGACCCCTCAGTCCGCAGGCTGACGCTCTATCCACTGAGCCAAGCCGGCCAGGGCGAGGGCTGTATTTTTAATCTTTTGTTTAAAATGATAAAACTAATGATTGCTTACAGTAATATATTCAAATAGTATGGAAATACATAAAGAATTCCACCCCTTAGAGGTTATCATTGTTAATAGTTTGGGTCTTATCCTGCCAGATTTTTCATATGTCCAGACAAATACAAATGTAAACTGTATTTTGAACACGCATGACTCATGTATTGTGATAAAGACAAAATTTCATTTCAGTCTCCTGCCACTTTTAAAATTTGTTTAGTGGGGGTATTCTTCCTCTGCTGCTACATGAAGATTTGGACAGTTCCCAGGACTTTCCCTTTAATTCTTATGTAACAGATGCCCCTATTACATTGTCACAAATGCAGTCTCTATTCAGCAATTAAAATGTTCAGTCACATGTAACAGTAAAAGTCCAAAATGAACCCCTTTCCCCTCTCTTGGGTCTGTTACAGAGTCATATTCTTTCTTCTCTCTCCCTGTCTGCCTATTCTCCCACTCCACTCTCTTCCTGTTCACCCTTCCCCCAATTCTGCTCTCTCCATGCTAGTCTTTTCTCTGACTCTATTCTCTTCGTTCCCCATTTAACTATTTCCATGCTCACCTCTTCCTTCACTCACTACTGTTGTTTAGTTCCACTCTAACAAAAGTTGGAAGCAGGAGGGATTAGGAGATAGGACAATTTTTGTATGACTGGGTGGCTTTATATTCTCAGTTTAGTGGATGGTTAAACAGACTCACTTTTGGAAACATCTGTGGCTCTTGGGAGGCTCTCTCCCGTCATTTCTGTGACCTAGATAGATATCTCCCTATTTTGGGTAGTCCCTTGGGACCAGCCCAAGAGCATAAATTCGATTGGCCAAGATCCAAGCTTCTTGCTGGCTGACTCATGCATGAAAAACACTCACGATACCTTGTCCCAACCAGCTGTGTAGTAGTGCACACTGATCCTAAGTCATCAGCTTCTCCTGGCTCACTCACCAAAGCCATTTCATTAGCCAGCTGTTCTTGGGCCTTGGACTGCTTTAGCTTTCTCAAATGTGAGTCAGGTGCTAGTCTTGATCTTCTGACCATTGGGAGTGTACAAGCATCCCGCATTTTATTGCACTTTGCAGATATTTCAGTTTTTGCAAATTGAAGGTTTGTGGCAACCTTACATAGAGCATGTCGACCAGCACCATTTTCCCAACAGCATTTGCTTACTTTATGCTTCTGTGTCACGTTTTGGTAATTTTCACCACTTTTCACACTTTTCCATTATTATTCTATTTATTATGGTGACCTGTGATCAGTGATCTTCGATGTTACTATTGCAATTGTTTTGGGGTGCCATGAACTCCTTTGTAAGACAGTGAACTTAATCTACAAACGTGTGTGTTCTGACTGCTCCACTGACGACCATTCCTCTATTGCTCTCCTCCTTGGCCTCCCTATTCCCTGAGACACAACAATATGGAAATCAGGCCAACTAACCCTAAAATGGCACCTAGGTGTTTAAGTGAAAGGAAGAGTTGCTCCAGGGTGACGGACTGCTCTCCCCATACTGCTGGCATTATTGGAATAAATGCTCATATCATTTCTCACTTTAAGTTAAACGCTAGAAATGATTAAGCTTAGTGAAGAAGGCATGTTGAAAGCTGAGATAGGCCAAAAGCCAGGCTCCTTGTGCCAGTTAGCTTAGTTGTGAATGCAAAAGAAAAGTCTTTAAGGGAAATGAAAAGTGCCACTCCAGTGAACACAAATGATAAGAAAGAGAACAGCCTTACTGCTGATATAAAGATTTAGTGGTTTGGATAGAATATCAGACTAGCCACAAGATTCCCTAAACCAGAACCTAATCCAGAGCAAGGCCTTAACTCTCTTCAGTTTTGCTGAAGGGTGAGAGAGGGGAGAAAATTGCAGGAAAAAAAGTCTGAAGCTAGCAGAGGTTGGTTCATGAGGTTTAAGGAAAGAAGCCATCTCCATAACATAAAAGTGCACAGTGAAACTGCAAGTGCTGATGCAGAAGCTGCAGCAAATTATCCAGAAGATCTAGCTAAGATGATTAACGAAGGGGGCTACACGAAACAGGTTTTCAATGCAGATGAAACAGCCTCATATTGGAAGAAGATGTCATCTAGGACTTTCATAGCTAGAGGAGAAGTTAATGCCTAGCTTCAAAGCTTCAAAGGACAGGCTGATTCTCTTGCTAAAGGCTAATGCAGCTGGTGATTTTAAGTTGAAGCCAGTACTCATTTACCATTCCAAAAATTCTAGGGCCCTTAAATTAGCTAATCTACTCCACCTGTGCTCTATAAATCGAACAACAAAGCTCGGATGGCAGCATGCTTGCTTACAACATGGCTTACTGAATATTTTAAGCCCACTGTTGAGACTTACTACTCAGATAAAATGCTTCTTTTCAAAATATTACTGCTTATTGACAATGCACCTGGTCACCCAGGAGCTCTGATGGAAATGTACAATGAGAGTAATGTTATTTTCATGCTTGCTAACAATAGTGGGGAAGGGCATGTAGTAAGAATAGAGCCATAGTTGTCTAATAATTATTCACCTTACTATCTATAGATGAGAAGTTTTCTTACAGACCCTGGGAAACTGGAGGATGAAACAAGGCTGTAAAAAGATAAGATGCTCGATGGCTCCATCACTCAGAAAATAAATACATTTTGAGAACAGACCAAGGACAGGACATTTTGATTTGGTTGCTGTGCCTGAACCCTGACCCCTCCGGGAGTTTTTCTCAGGAATACTGACCATTCTCTTGTCCCAGGAATGGGCTGAGCTGCTTGTAACATCATAGAAAATTAGCCACCTTGTTATTGGACTTTGAGCTCCTGAAGGGAGCATTCCAGCCGCGGGCAAACTACGGCCCGCGGGCCGGATTCGGCCCGTTTGAAATGAATAAAACTATTGAAAAAAAAGACCGTACCCTTTTATGTAATGATGTTTACTTTGAATTTATATTAGTTCACACAAACACTCCATCCATGCTTTTGTTCCGGCCCTCCGGTCCAGTTTAAGAACCCATTGTGGCCCTCGAGTCAAAAAGTTTGCCCACCCCTGTCAAATAACTTTAGTCCCTCCCCTCCCCTTTCCATGTTACATGTAGCTATCTTCTCCCTCAGCCAGCTGGCAAGGGGGAGTGAGATCAGAATCTCCAGGGTGATGGACTGCTCTTCCCATACTGCATTATTGGAATAAATGCTCATATATGATTCAACCCTGTCTCTGCTTAATTTGGTCCAAGTAGTGACAGGCAGCCTCGGGTCCATTGTGTCTGGTTTCACTAACACAGAATACATTCTGCAGCCCATGAATCAAGAAGTAATTTTAACTTTCAGGTCTTACTATTTAAGAAGTATAGCTGACACAGATGGTGATTCCTCTGATGGATCTGGGCAAAGTAGGTTGAAAACCTTCTGAAAAGGATTCATTGTTGTAGATGCAATTCTCTTTTGACAGTACCTTCTTATTCTAGCAAAATCCTCTTTATAGTCCCCACTTCTCATTATAGTTTCTTATGAGAGTACTGTACACTTACTAGCTCTATTTTTTTTAACCCCTGATCACTGGACAATGTACACAAATTGATTGCTTTTCTAATTACTCCTTGGTCATTTCTCTTGTTACTATAATTACTAACCTCTTTGTTGATAAACCCATTGGACACTTCCTAGATCTCATCTTACATAGGAAGAGATTTCTAAATAAATAGACATCAGCAGATGCCAATGACAATGAGGCAAGCAATACCCCAGAGAGTACATCAGAATGAGAGCACAAAAGCCAAATCATTCTATCTGTCCTTGGAGCAATAGAAATGTCTTGCCACATTCTCATTAGAGGAACCATTTATGGTGTCAAACAGGATAATGCAAAAACAGACTCCTTGGAGGAGACTGTTAGCCTGCCTGCCTGTGACAAGGAGGATGTGAAAAACCCCTTGTTCAGGCTGATCTATGAATCAAGAGCCTTGTGTATCCACATATAGATGCATAATGGTATCTGCACATTTTCTTAAGTTAGCAATTACTTTCTCTAGTTGAGGGTAGTCTGTGGGTAGGGACAAAATGGAGACAGTGTGGGTCCTGCACATGGCCACATATGTACCCTTGGGAAAGAACAGCTCTGCCTTCTGCTGTAGGTTCCTACCCTGGCAATTCACCTGCAAAGGGAGTTTTTAATTTTCTTCCTGTAGTTTCCTATTCCCTGGGGTCCAGGCGTGGAGTTTCACAGAAATAATGTCACCCACTGCTGTCAGGGAAAGGGCTAGGGGTTCTTGACAAAATATTTTAATTATCAGCCTTACCCATGGAATGCCAGCACTGGTCAGGCCAAAATTCAGGTTGAGTGAGGCCGAAATAGGGACAAAGTTTCCTGCCTAAGATAATCTGGAGCACTCAAAGCAAGACGCACAGCCAATTCTGTCCTATTGAAAAAGCAAAAGCTCGAATGAAACAAAACCAAGTCCAAATGATGAAACGCGGGGCCAGAACAGAGCACCAGAGTGGGAAACTAGACAGAGATGGGGCAGGTTAGCTTGACTAAGTGAACCAGAGCGGAATATAGCAGACAGGTAGTAGTCAACTATTTGCTAGTGTAACCCAGGCAGATCATTGTAGGTGTTATTCTAACAATCGGGAACGAAAGAGGCTTTTCTTTTGGCCAAGAACTCTCATATTTAGTGGGATGTTTTAAAGAAGAGAGTATAAAGCCAACAGATCCAAGTTTTGAAATACAGCACTTAATTAAAATAGCATGACATTCATAAAGAAAAATATAATCTAAAATCTGAAAAGAGAATGTGGGTGAAAGACAGATTAGAAATGTAGGAATGGGGGAAACTGACCTATAAGTCTACTTAAAAGCACTGTACTAGAGAATGGAACACCAAGTCCATAGGAATACACACCTTTAGAAGAATAAGGAGGGAGAGAAGGCAGTACAGGAGCAGGTAAAGATGCAGGAGAAAGGTTGAAAGAGGCAAGAATAGTATATATTATAAACCAGGATGGAAGAAAATTTCAAAAAAGTAAAGTCAACACAGTCAAATACAAGATCATAGGAGACACTAACTGTGGTTTGTAGCCAGTAGATTTGACTGGAAGGAAGTTAGTGGTAATCTCCCAGAAAAAATTTTTAGTAACACAAGCAGGATATATCACTAAGGTGAGCACGAGAATAAGAACCAGGGCTATGGGTTTTAGACAATTTTTAAAAGTTTGAGAATGAAAGAAAAACAAAAAACTGAAAAGTAGGTAAAAAATGGCAGAGATACGGAAAAGAAAGATTTAAAGACTACCAAGAGAGGATGTGTAAATAAAAAACAGAAAATGCTATGTGGAGGTTTGCAACAGCAAGGTATTTATGTACATTCAAACTAACACCTTCAAAATAACTTTGTTGTGCTGATTTTTAAATAATAAGTATATATTATCTGTTTAATCAGAAAAGAATAAGAGAGCCATTTCCACTTTGTGAAAAAGTCAAATATGAACTAGATTTTAAAGAAGTGTTTAATATTCTTTAAATCCAGAGAGAGATATTTGTAACACACTCAGTTGAGTATTTCAAAAGTGACTATTTCCCTTCACTTAATAGCAAATATTAAAATGCTTGCTTCTCACCTGGATGAGTGTCCAGTGGACCGTCTCTTTCCATCATCCACTGCTCTTCTTGCTCCAACTGAGTGATCACCTCTGGCTTATAAAGTTGATGACCTATTCATGGGGGGAAAATGTATCTCAGAAATTTATGCTGGAAACAAAGAAATTTTTAGTCCTGAAAGGCAGCAAAATAAAGGTGCCCGCCTCAAACTCAACAAAGTCAAGACTTTTTACCTGAGGAGAAAGAGCAGGACCCAAAGGTCTCTGTCTATGAAACTGATTAGCATTCTTCTGTCCCCGCCTGAACTATAATCACAAAAGCTTTGGAGGTTTTCACTACCTGAGAAAATAGAGTAGTCCCCCCTTATCCTTGGTTTCACTTTGTACAGTTTCAGCTACCCACGGTCAACCATGGTCCAAAAATATTAAATGAAAAATTCCAGAAACAAACAATTCATAGTTTCATTTTTTATTTATTTTTATTATCTTTTTAACTTTAAAACATATTTTTATTGCTTTCAGAGAGGAAGGGAGAGAGAGAGAGATAGACACATCAATGATGTTTGAGAATCATTGATAGGCTGCTTCCTGCATGCCCCCTACTGGGGACCAAGAATGTGCCCGACCAGGAATCGAACTGTCACCTCCTGGTTCATAGGTCAGTGCTCTACCCCTGAGGCAAACTAACTGGGCTATTTTTTTAAAAACTTTTTAAATTAAATTTATTGGGGTGACATTGGTTAATAAAATTATATAGGTTTCAAGTGTACAGTTCTATGATGCATCATCTGCCTATTGCATTGAGTATCTACCACCCAGAGTCAAATCTCCTTTCGTCACCATGTATTTGACCCCTTTACCCTTTACTACCTCCCATCCCTCTTCCCTCCGGTAACCACCATGTTGTCTGTGTATATGAGGTTTTATTTGTCTTATTCGTGCATTTGTTGCTTTCAGTTTTATAGCCCACATCTGAGTGAAGTCATTTGGTTCTTGACTTTTTCTGACTTACTTTGCTTAGCATGACATTCTCAAGATCCATCCATGTTCACCATACTGTTGTCTGTCTATGAGGTTTTTGTTGTTTAATCCCTTCATCTTTTTCACCCCCCCACCCGCTACTCCCTTCCCTCTGACAGCTACGAGTCTGTTTCTATTTTGTTTGTTAATTTATTTTGTTCATTAGATTCCACGTACAAGTGAAATCACATGGTGTCTGTCTGTCTCTGACTGGCTTATTTCACTTTGCATAATACATTCCAGAAACTGTGATAAAATCTTGCATCATCACCTCTATCCCGCCCAGGACATGAATCATCCCTTTGTCCAGCATATCAACACTGTAGATGCTCCAGGCCTATTGGTCACTTAGTAGGCATCTTGGTTATCAAACCAACTGTCTTGGTATCAAAGTGCTTATGCTCTGGTAACAGTTACTTTACAAAATTATGGCCCCAAAGCACAAAGATAGTGATGCTGGCAATTCAGATATGCCAAATAGAAGCCATAAAGTTCTTTCTTCAAGTAAAAAGGCAAAAGTTCTCAACTTAATAAGGAAAGAAAAAAATTATATGCTGAGGTTGTTTAGAATTATGGTAGGAGCACATCTTCTATACATGAAATTGTGAAGAAAAAAGAAATTCGTGCTAGTTTTGCTGTCACACCTCAAACCACAAAAGCTATGGCCAGAGTATGGAAGTGCTTAGTTCAGATGGACGGGGCATTAAGCTTTATCATAGGTATGTATGAATAGGAAAAGCATAGTATATGTAGGATTCAGTACTAGCCATGGTTTCAGGCATCCCCTGCAGACAAGGAGGTTGGCGGGGGGACCACTATAAACGCATTGGAATGGCTTCCAGTTTTACAGGGTCTCCCTCCTTACCCAGAGCGACCAGATTCCTGTAGTTTTCTAGCATCACATCTCGGTAGAGGTTCTTCTGAGCAGGGCACAGCTGGTCCCATTCCTCTCCGGTGAAGTCCACAGCCACGTCCTGGAATGTCAGGGACTCCTGAAACATCAAGTACATCCCTGCTCAGCCAGAAACAGTTTTTTAAAAAACTGGGCCCTCAGGGGAAGGAGCAAAGGTACAGCAGGAGACAAAGGTTAGGCTGTGGAAGCCGTTGTGCTGAGAGTCCTCAGGGCCCTGAGTAATCCAGGTCAAAATTTTGAAACAAGACTCAGTACCTATCTTTCTATCATCTTTCAAGACAGATAAAAACATACACAAAGTACTGCTTGTTTTTCAGCTTTTTATAATCTGTTGCAGGGGAATCTTAGAGCATCTAAACAATTAAAAAACAATTTGGGAAATTCATGCTATAAGGTTTCAGAAGTGACAGAATTCAGGATATGTTGAAATAGTGAAAGTAGGTATCGAGTTGGTGTATCTTGTGTAGTCCTTAAAAGTTTTAAGATTTGGACAGAAGAGGAGAAAGGATATTTCAGTGTCTTAAAAAAAAAAAATGAAAATAACCAGGGCAAATAGGTTAAGAGTAAAAGGTATATGATGCATGTCGATGTCAGTAAAAGAAACTGTCTTGTTACAGGTAGGGATTTCAAATAAAAAGGGTAACATCTATATTTCCTCCATTATCAATGCTACCTAAGCAACCCTTTTGCTCTAAGAGACAGACATACTGACACACAACCTACATATACCTCCTTCTCCTTCTTTCCTAACACTCCCCCACCCCCAATACAATCTACTTCATGGGCACAATAATTCCAATTATTTAAGAGTGTGGTGTTCCAAACAAGTGCTCTTTCCTAAAAGTTAAGATTCAATATTTCAGGACAGTATTGGTTTTTACACTTGTTTAGCATATGCCTAAAATCTCGTTTCTACTTCCTTTTATAACTTCTATATATCCTCACATTTCACTTTAAATTTTGCTTCTCCACAGAGTTCTTCACTGACTCCTTAATGCACATTCACAGCATCTTATTCTTATTTTGTATAATATACATCTCCATTTGCAATTTATTATTATATTTGCTGAATGACTGTCTCTGTTAGACTACAAGCCACTTGGGCTTAGGACAGGGGTGGGCAAACTTTTTGACTCGAGGGCCACAGTGGGTTCTTAACCTGGACGGGAGGGCCGGAACAAAAGCATGGATGGAGTGTTTGTGTGAACTAATATAAATTCAAAGTAAACATCATTACATAAAAGGGTACGGTCTTTTTTTTTTTTTAGTTTTATTCATTTCAACCGGGCCGGATCCGGGCCGCGGGCCGTAGTTTGCCCACGGCTGGCTTAGGACCATGTTTGTTTTGCTCATTGACATATACCTGATGCCACGCATAATTTCTGGCACACAGTAGCTGCTCAATAATATTTGTTGAAGGAATGAGTCATCTTCTTTCGTAACATAATAAATGGTTCTGGAAAATTAAAACAAACTCCTCTGGCTAGAATGCCAAGAGGCGCATATGACACATTAGTTCTCAATGTCGTTTTGTTCCTGTCTGTGGGGAGCTTTATAATTAAGCATAAACTGAATGAATCTATTCCTTGCAGATCTAAGATCCCAAAGTACTAATGCACCAAATAAGTGCTCAGCTCTAGCTATTGGTCTCCTTATTGTCTTAGCTATTGCTCAAGTTTTATTTCCTTTTGCAATGGTTCAGTCTTCTCTAATTTCCAAACCCTACCTGATATCAGCACATGTTAAAACTCTACCTTCTTCATGAAGTCTTCCCTCGTCCCCCCAGTTTCAACCAGATTTCTCCCTTCTCTGAGCAATTCTTGCATTTGTTATCTCTTGCATGCATAACAGCATCCAACATTCTACTTACACTTTTTGAATATTAATTGTGTGATGTAGGCATTTAAAAATCTCTCCCAATGAGTTTATTTGCTATGTACAGATAATGATTATCTCATAGAATTTGGAACAATAGAAGTCCTCTATGTGAAGCAACTAAGACTAATATCTCATGTGTTAAGCAAAAAGGCTGGTTAAAGTAGAGATCCATAAAAGATATCTTAAACATATTATTTTAATTTAAAAAATATATATGTATATTTTTGGCTAACCTTTTGATGTAAAGCAAACCTTTGTCTATGAGAGTGATTTTAATGACTAAGTGACCATACCCATAATGTATCAGTTTCTGGTTCATTAAAGTGGAACAAGCAAATGACACTTGGGAAATAACGTAGGCATAGAATCCTCTGAGATTTTTATGATTTTTCCATCTGTGTTTTACAATTTTGCTCACACCTAATTTGACAGCAATTTTTAAAAAATGGCATTTACTGAATCTTTCCAAAACATTCAGCTAGTTTTCATAGAAACAAACAGTTATATCTCTTCAGTTTACCTAATATTTAATCAAACTATGGAATTGTTAACAACAGGTTTAAACAGGTTTGGGGGAAGCTATAACGGGTTCTGGATAAAAATTAACTTGTGGCAGCAGATGTCCTCAGGCGTACTGGGTAATGCTGTTAGTTCCAAGCAGTCACAGTGACCTGAGCATCATTCATTGCTTACAGTGTGGTTGGAATTCTGGTGAGCTGTGTAAGTGAAGGGTGATTATAAGACAGTCTATGGCTTCTTTTATTTTATTTTATTTTTCAACATCTAGCACTGACATGAGTACTTGATTTGGTAAAAATGCTGGAGGGAAAAAGGTATAAAGGAGTATATAAGGTGGATGGGGAACATCCAATAGAGATAATCATCTATCATAAGAGTTTAAAGGGCTCTGGAGTTTGGGGGCTTAGCACTTCTGAAAATAGAAAAGTGAAAGTGCCCACATTCTGAGGACTACAATAGTATTTCCGAGGAGAGTAAACTAAACTTACCTTGGACCTGACTACCTGTGACCTATCATTCATTTCCTTCTCTTCCATGTTCCCCTCCTGAAAAGGTACAGCATTCTAAGATGGCATAAATGGGAAAAAGAGAGAAAAAGCAGCTTGTCAATACATGGTATTAAGATTGAACCTAGCCCTGGCTGGTTTGGTTCACTGTATAGAGCGTCGGCCCGGGGACTGAAGGGTCCCAGGTTCGATTCTGGTCAAGGGCATGTACCTTGGTTGCAGGCACATCCCCAGTAGGGAGATGTGCAGGAGGCAGCTGATCGATGTTTCTCTCTCATCGATGTTTCTAACTCTCTATCCCTCTCCCTTCCTCTCTGTAAAAAATCAATAAAATATATTTTAAAAAATTGAACCTAAACTTGGAGCTTTTGCTTTGTGTTAGGATGACAGTTTATTTATTTTAAAAATATGTTTTTATTGATTTTTACAGAAAGAGAAAAGGACAGTGAGAGAGGAAGGGAGGAGAGAAGGGGGGAAGAGAGAGAGAGAGAGAGAGACAGAGAGAGATATGAGAGAGAAACACCAATCAGATGCCTCTTGCATGCACCCCAACTGGAGTGCCCTGAATGGAAATCAAACTGGTGACTTTTTGGTGCACAGGATGACGTTCAACCAATTGAGCCACAACCAGCCAGAGCTATCTTTCACTTTTATTGCTACTTCCTATAGTTATTTAAAATCATTTAATGTCTCTTCCAACATTAAAAACCTTCACTGGCTATATAACCCTTTGCAACCACCATCCTTTCTTTTTCAAGCCAACATTCTTCAAAGGATTGTCCATACTTGTGTCTACATCCTCATTACCCACTGATTTTTCAATTCTCTATAATGTTGCTTCTGTTCTGCTATCAGAACTCCACTGAAATTTCCCTGGTTAGTAATATAAAAAAACCCTTAGGTTGCTCATGCAGTAGACTTCATTATTTAAGGGTTGAAGGTATCTGATATTGCTGACAGCTGTGTCTTGCTTTACTTCCATGGTCTCTCTCAGTGGGCTATGCTCTAATCCCTTTTCCTCTGCCTACCATTTATATATTGTTTTTCCTTATAATTTTCCAAAATCTATTCTTGTCCTCTCCACAGTTGAAAGAAAGAAATCTTTAAAATATATAAACCATACCTAAAAAGAAGAGTTCACTTTCTCAAATGTCAAGGCAGAGAAACAATCCATCAACCATGAATAACCATGGTAACAAATTAGCTCAGAAAGAAAATGAAAACTCTCCAGAAACCAAACTAAAAAACATGGAAAACTGTGATTTAAATGACAGAGAATTCAAGATTATAGTTTTGAAAAAACTCGATACAGAAGAAAACTCAGAAAAGCAGTTCAATGAGCTCTGGAATAAAACAAATGAACAAAAGAAGTGCTTTATCAAAGAGATTGAAACTATAAGATGAACCAAACATAAATCCTGGGGCTGAAGAACTAAATAAATGAGATGAAGAATACATCAGAGAGCACGGGAAATAGAGATGACCAGATGGAAGAGAGAATTAGTGAGCTCTAACACAGAAATGTAGAAATGACTCAGGTGGAGGAAGAGAGGGCACTGAGAGTTAAAAAAAGAAAGATGGAAAAACTCTAGGAGAACTATTTGATTCCACTAGAAATAGCAATATAAGAATGATGGGTATACCAGAAGGAGAAGATGGGAGAAAAGAACAGAGAGCCTGTTCAAACAAATAATTAATGAGAACTTCCAAAACCCAGGCAAAGAGCTGAACTTTTGCATTCAGGAAGCTTTCAGAACACCTAATTATCTCAATGCAAAAAGACCTCCAAGACCCATTAAATTAAAGCTGTCAGAAGGTAGTGACAAAGAAAGAAATCTCCAGGCAGTAAAGAAGACAACCTACTGGTATAAAGGAGATCCCATTAGATTATCATCATATTTTTCAGCAGAAACCTGACATGGTAGGAGAGAGTGGAATGAAATATTTAAAAATTCAAGAGAGAAACTAGCAGCCATGAATAATATATCCAGAGAAGCTACCCTTTATATATGAAGGAGAAATAAAGACTTTTCCTGACAAAAGCTGAGGGAATTTACCACAAGACCTGTGTTACAAGAAATGTTGAAAAGAGCTCTTCTACCAGAAACAAAAAGATATGAAACTCTGAGTCAGACTGCAAACCCACAGACAAAGGAAGGAAATTACAACTCTATTTCAGAATAGGGTTTTAATT